GTGTAGAGAGAAGTAGGCTCGAGATTATGTGTGGAAGGAGATGGATTAGGCTATATAATGATAAGGTGATTAATCATTAATCTGCTGGAATTTACGGAACCGAATAGTATATGTACAAGAAATCGCGTCTGACTATCAACAACAAGTAGTAGTGTAGCGGCGAAGGAGAGTTGTTGTGACATGGAGGTTGTGGGTTCGATGTCGTGCTTTGACTCCTTTTTTTCTTCTTTTCCTTACTGCGGCGGAATGCAATTAAAATAAGCTCCAGCTGAACTATCTAAACTTTGACACTCAGCCCGCCGGTTGAGCGTGCCTTCTTTCAATTTTTGGGACCAAAGTTCGAATCCCATCTCTATTTTTTCTTAGTTTTGCTTCCTTTCTTCAATGTACTCCATATTTGCTTTGAAGGAGATTTCACTTTTATTGACCTCTAACTTAAACTTTTATTTTCTTCTTTTCTTCACACTCAAATGTATCCAAATAGCATTAAATGTACCTGAAAATATAAAATACCCGTATAAAATTGCACTAATCCAAACTAACATCAAATAATAAAAATATGTACAAAGATACAACTTTATTAACTAAAATTATTAATAAACTAATCCTAAAAAGTGTGTAAAATATAAGTACATCACTCACGCAAGAGCTTATAGAGAGTTTGTTGTATGTTGTCCTTGAACTTGAAGTGGGCAGGAAATGCACCATGATAACCCGAGGCTTTAAGAAATTGTTGACATCCTTCACTCGTCGAGCACCAGAACCAAGCAGGGCTTCTGTGGGTTGGACGCACAACACTGATCTTTCGTCCATGTTGAATGTGGAGATAGTACTCAAAGGTGTCATTGCTGCTCCCATCAACGACCATGTATACGGTGCAAGTGTGAAACAGATCCATCCTAAACCAGCTGGTTGTTCAAAATCAGGTTTCAATCATACACGAGTTCACAACGAAGACATGCATGAAATGTAGAATCAAGTTAACAAGTCACAACATACCAAGGCAAAAAATGTATGGTTGGGTTAGCAAGAATAGACACTGCTGGCGGGATATACAAGCATATAGTTGGGCTAACATCAAGTTCACAAAAACAAAAATGTAACAAATTGCGTAAATAATGAGCAAGCTAGCTAGGTACACACAAAGTTTCAAGAACACAAAACTTAAAAAACGCAACAAAGGTCACGGGAAAAACACAATCCCAACACAATTTTGTCCTAGGCACGGGTAATCCAACCGCTAACACTTAATTAGTTGTTTAAGATAACATGCACCAAAGGTTTCACACAGTAACACTAAATTTCGCCACATTTCGTATGGTAACAAATATATTGAATCCAAAACGAGTGAGGAATGTAGTGGCAAAGACATAATAAAAGAATAGAATGCAATGGGAAAAAAGTAGCAGGGAATTAAACATACATGAGATTCAATGAGACAACAGCTATATTGTTTGAGTTCATGATTGTGTGTAAAAGAATTTCATGATTCAATATGTGTTTGAATTTCCTAGTGCATGATTGTGTGTAAAAGAATGATGGATTTAATTTAATAAATGATTAATTAAATTATTTATCGGGACCATTTTTTTTTAATGGAATACCAAACATTTAGTTGGGTCACCATAATAATTATAGAAGCCCAATAAAATGCCAACTAAAGTTGAGGAAAATGTGTGGGCAACCCAAGTGCTATTTTGACCCAACCTGCCAAAAAATAGAAATAATAATTGGGAGAGACTTGCTACACCCACTTGGGGTATTCTACCAGTCAAATAACTCTCAAATGATATGGAGGGAGATGGACAAAGAAAAGTGTGTGTGTCTGGACATATAGTGTGAGGGAGATGGGAGGAGACATATGAAAGTTCCTAAGACCCTACTCCTCATATTATTGGAGCCTTGATTAAGGGGGGTGCTTCTTCTTTCTTCTCATTGACACCATACACAAGAAATAGAGAGACAAGTCTAGGAGAAGCTCTAACAAAGGCTATAGCTTGGAGGAAGTAAGAGGCAAAGAAGCTCAGAGAGAAATAGCTAGGAAGAAAGGTAAGAACTCAAATAGTTCTTTAACTAGTACTCCCTCCGTCCCAGTAACAATGGGACAAGAGGGAGTGGCACACAAATCTATAAAAAGTAGTTTATGTGGTTGATATTGAATTGATAAAGTAAGAATAAAGTAAGAATGATTTAGAGCCACATAAACTTTACCAAATAAGGTATGAGACAATCTTAGTGGGATGGACCGAAATGGTAAAATGGTACAATCTTAGCGGGACGGAGGTAGTATTATTTTTGTATGATTTAACTTAGAAGAATCGTGGAATTGGTAGGTGTTGAATCCACCGGAATCCGCCATTGTTGGGGATTGTTTTCGAGCTGCAGGCCCGAAAGCCGCCCGACTTTTGCATTCTGTCCAGATTTTTCACTTTCAATCGGCCTAGAATGGGGAAAAGCTGATATAGTTGGGGAGGAAGGTTGAGTTGTGGAGTTTGAGTATTTTGGGGAAAGAATGGAGGACGATAATTTTGGAAACCTGGTGGGCGATTTCTAGGAGAAATTAGCGAGGTAGATTGAGGTGAAGTGTTGATGTAGAAATCGGGTTGGGTGGTGGTGATAGGGACTCCAGACGTCCCGACGATTCTGGATGAAGATTGGTCCATGACTACTCTTTGCTCTCGCAGAGCCTTGCGAGTCTGTCTTGCCAGCTTTTCGATCTCAAGATTAAGAGGGACAAGCGGTTAGAAGAGAAAAATCCTACGAGAAACTAAAAACAAGTCGCTGAAATTAATTAACCCTTAAAACCGACACCGTCCACGACAACAACGCCAAAAATTGATGTGAGTTTTCTCGCAATTAAAATATGTGTAGCAGTATAGGGCTAAAGTATGAGGATCGTTTCCACTGGGACGGAAAAGGGGAAGCAGGAATTAAATAAATTCAACGTTTAAAATAAATAAATAAAATACAATGGTGCATTGGTGCATGATTTGGATTTTTGGAAATTAAACTAATGCAAATAAACAACTAAATTAAAGGTCTCTTTCTAATTAATGACGGAAGGGAACATGGATTGATTCCGGGGTAATCAGATTTCGGTGCTGAAAAGGCTTAATCACATGAAAATTATTTAATTGAGCAACGCTGGTCAATACTAAGTTCTTACTGCTCTCGCGGCGTAGCGTACAATAATTTAGGGAACAAGGCAAATCTCTCATGCGACGGGTTTCTAAATTATTGTCAAAACGAGCAAGTGTCCTAGATTAATTTAAATCTCTTTTAGTTTATTCTATGTGCAATTATAATCCTAGCGGCCGCTCCAGGTTACAAAAGATATCAATTAAATTATTCAAACACAAATTAAATAAAGATCATGCAATTAAACCATCAAGTAATTTACCCTAGATCATGATTAACCCATTCATCAATCCCAAATCCCTAATTAAAACTACTCACAATTCATAATTGAATTAACAATATAATTGAGAAGAAAAAAATTAATTGTCATTAATTAAAAAGATTGAACTTACAAAGAATCCCAAAATCTTGACAATCCAAAGCTCTCAAAAATCGCTTTAGGGTTTATTTCTCTAAGTTCCGGTCTGAAAAACAGGCAAACAAGAGCTGAATTTATAGAAAACAAGGAAAAGTGAGCGAGAATTGATTGGGCCGCACGGTCGTCCGCACGGCATGCGGACAACCGTGCGGCCTTCCTTAAAATTCTGACGCGTCAAATTAGTCTTCTGCCCACACGGTCCACCGTGCGGTACTCCTGAGGGTGTATTCTGAACCGCAGGGCGTGCGGTTCAGACTTTTGAACTTCATGCTCTCTCAATCACCCCGGGACGCGCAGCTTCGTCCGCGGGGCACGCGGAGCTCATTTGAACCGTTTTCTTGCTCTTTTCTTCCCCGTTCGACCCTGATCGATCACATCTTCAATATTAGGCCTCTTTTGACTCAAATCATGTTCCTTAATCGTCTCGTGGACCTCCGATGCTTCTTGTCATCTCTCGAAAGCGTTCCAAATCTTCTCAAATTATACGCAATTGACGATGTCGGGTCCAAATTCCTAATTTTCTCAACAAATGCAAGCCAAACTCGGTAAACCGTGACTTGAGCTAATTTAACGCTTTGTGACTCAAATAAATTAGGAAAAGTGACAAAACACAATCCCAACACGCATCAAATGCGTGCTGAAATACGAACTTATCATTAGTACGGTGAAAAAACATCTTTCTTAACAAGGAAACTAATTCGAAAAAATATATATGAAAATGAAATAATAAACAGGAAGAAGAAATGGAAGGAAAAATGGAATACATAAACATCTGAAAAAATTGAAAAGAAATAAAAATAAGAATAAGAAGACCAAAAAGAGGAATAAACGAGTCGAGACGATAAAAAAAATGGAAAAGTTTTAGGGAGAGAAACGAAAAATGATATGTCGGGCCACTTGGAGAAGATTTGGGAAAGGTCAGATTCATAGTTGAATGATTACCAAAGAAAATGAAAAGGCCTTGAATAGCACCAACCAATGAAAATGAGATGCAAAGGTATTATTCCTGAATTAAGATTGAGGCTATTCTAAATGCCCGTTTGGTAGCACGAAAATCAGCTGATTTGGCTGATTTGGCTGATTTTACTGAAATTTATGAAGTTCTGGCTGAAGTGGCTGCATTGGTTGTTTCTGTTGAGTTAAGAAAAAATATTTTGAAAATATATTTTATGAATAAAATAAAGAAAAAATTACGTAGTATATGTAAAAATAGCTAAAATAGTCCTCTATAGTAACTTCAGCCAATACAACCAGAAAAGTAACTCCAACCTTACTTTTTCTGCTTATTACACAATTCAGCGTGTGAAATCAAAAGTTACGTGTTTGGTAAAAAAGTTGGCTGAGAAGCCGAAAAACAATGTTGGCAAACGCCCTATAACACAGAGCTAAATGCCTAAATGGTTGGACTAATAGTTTCTATTTTCTCTTTTACAAAATCTCAACCGGGAATTTTTCTAATGCGGCCAGGACACAGGCTGGGCGTCTGACGGGCCAGTGGTGAGACAATTGGTTACAGAGCTGGAGAGCTGAGTTTTTCCGACCTGATTTGGTTCCTTTGCACCCACGATTCGAGTGAGGAAATGGCAAGAGCGACTGCTGTGCTGCGCGCAGCTGTCATAGCAATTGAGGACTCCTGTTTACTGAAAGCTTTGCAATCAGAAATCAACCATGAGCTCTCTACCCCAAGATCTTTTCAGGTGAACACCCCGCCCCATCTTTGTATGATCAAGCAATCCTCTAAAGCGAGCCTAGACTTTTCATCCTTATTCGAATTCCGTTTCAAATAGATGCAGTGAACTTACCTGCTTTAGATTGATGCTTCAGATGTATTGTTTTTATTGAGGTGAAGTGTTTATTAGAAAGTACTTGATGATAATCTGTAATGCGAATTAGGTTTGATTTAATAATTACAGAATGAGGAACATGGTGCCTTGGGAGATTTTGCAATTGAATGGGATTCGCGAGACACCCAAGATGTTCTTCTGCGGAGGAGATTTGAATCTGGTGAGGAAGTATCTGTTTCAGCTATCCTAGGTGCTGAAACCCCTCGTGTAGAGTATGAAGATGTTATGTTTCCCAGAGAGACCTTGCTTAAAGTTTGCATGAAAAAGCCGGGGTTGAGTTCCATTCTGCAGTTTGATTGTAGAGCATTCAGTGACAATGGGGAATCAAACTTTCAAATTGATAATGCTCATTACCTCAAAGCAGCAGCATCCCTGGATAGTTCTGCTTATAGAGGCCCTTCTTTCAGGTGATTTCTTTATTTATCAACTGCCTTTTAACTAGCTTCATTTACTTTCTTCTATTCGGCAGACACAAGACAGTTTTGTTTTGTTCAGTTAATCACCATCCCCAATCACTTGGACATAATCTCTATGAACAAGGACAGCTCATTTTTAGCTAACTTTTGTCTTTAGTTGTATCAAGAAGATCCTGCTTGAGTTTTGCTTCAAAGTTATACTTAATTGCGTGTTTGGGATCATTCTTTTTTTCAGTTCTTTGGACCCTCGACTGCAAAGCGAGTTCCTCCAGTACCTGCAAGCTAAGGGAATTGATGAAAATCTGTTGAGCTTTCTCGTACTCCACCTCCACAAGAAGGAACAAGGTCAGTATGTCAACTGGTTGCACAGGTTACAAGCTATGGCGGGACACAACAAAATCAATGAAACTGACTGAGTGTGAGGCATCTTGAGCCTTTATTTTGTTGTGCCTTTTTTTGCAAAAAAAATTATGTACATTCTGCTCAAAGGCCTAACTTGTGCCGTTTGATGATGAATTTCTGGAGAGTTGTAAAGGGAGAGGAATCAATCACGTTTTGGTTGAATTGGATAGGTTAAGTAAATGAGAGGAAATATAACAACTAAATATTATCATTTCCTCCGTTTCCCTATTTGACTTTTTGTGGTTCAAGATTTGTTACTTTGATAAGTTATAAACTTATAATACCCCTTCATCCCATAAAGATAGACTATCTTTACTTATTGGCCGTTTTATAAATTAGTCTAGTTTCTAAATTGAACAAGTTTGTATGTTCCTAAGTAATGTGTCATAAACTGAGTATATATGTGTGTGATAGATGCATATTTTATTGATATTCACTATATAACCAATCTTTTTTATACTTATGTAATAAAACAAGTTCTCTTTATCGATGGCAGAGTATTTGTTATTCATAATGTTTTAATATTATGGAAAATGATTTATATCACGAGAGTATTATAGAATTGTATTATAGAATTGTAGATTGTTAAGAGTACTATCACTAAATTTATTGGTACCCATTAATATGCATAATCTGTACTTCTCCGTGGCAGAATAAGGTTATTAGGTTACCATATACATTAACATTACTGATATGGTCAATTCATCCCCTATTTCTGATCATGACAAATTTTATGATATTCGAATTCAAGAAATCTGAATCAATAACATTTCTTGTGTAATTTCTAAAAATGTAGATTCTACTTAGTAATATTAATTCAAATATTATCATGAGAGAACTAGAGAAGCACTCTATCATTATTCATTAGTCAAACATTGTAAATCAAAGTATGAAGTAAATCTGGGAAAGAGAATAAGTTTTTATATCATATACTTGTATGTGTTAAATGTGTAGGTCAAACTTGAAATTTGTTCTTAAGAGAATAAGAGTTACGACGAATGCCTTGTTCCAACTTTATCAGATCAGTAAGCCTTAAATAATGTAGAACAATTGAACAAGAGCCATTGGTTCTAACTTCTAAGAACATGCCAACATGGTGGAGGAACACCCTACTTTTCGATCTTGGAAGAGAGCCTATCATGGATAGAAAGCCTCCTTCCCCCTATGTGATCCATCACTAAGGTCTTTGGTATCTGACGGGAAATAGGGAATGATAGGACCTTTGAGTCTTTGAGACCTCGGCGGAGGTGAATCCCATTGGCAGTCCGCCGATATAGCTTATGCTTCTTCCCTGTGTGGTATGGAATGCACACGATAGGGAAAATGTTGCCTTGCGTCAGTATTGGGGATAACCCTCTGCAAAGCCGCAGTTAAGGTTTCCACACCCCGCCGAAAAGTCGCTAAACTTGTCAGTGCTTGTGAAGGGTCCACGCCTTGAACGGGATTCCCACCAGCAGTCGTCCAAATCTATGATGGGCGAGTTGTGGGGTGCGTGGAACTCTTTACACCATGTAGATCATTCCTCCAACTGCTTGGTGTTAACATGTTGTTATTCCGCCTCTGGAAATCGTTGCGCCGCGAATGAGATCCTTCGTCCTCGATCACGGCCTGATTCATTCCGGCGTCGGCCTGGTTGCTGTTAGCTCGGTTGTGACTGTGTGATCCAACCATCGTGTTCGTCGTAAATCGACTCTCAACGAGAGCATCAAATGATGGAGTTTAATTCCAACTACAAGAGCTAATCTACGAGAATAGAGTATTTAGGTAGCATAAGACAGTATTATTAAACAGCAAAGCGGATCCCTTTTAGGGTGAGTACATGAAGTATTTATACACATGGAGCTACAGTAGCCGAAGGAGACATAACTAGTACATTAAATAGATCTAATCATGATAGGACTCCTCTAACGTATCTCATTATTCCGCATTTATTACTCCTTTATGTCCACATCTCTTCCGATAAGCCTCTGCCATTGCCAAATAGTCATGCACAACGGATGACTTGCCACGTAAGCTCTAGGGTGAGTCCGACCTCGCTAGAATCCTGCTCAGGCTCGAGACCTGCTGATCAAGTCAGCCTGGATGTGGGTTCCTTTGACGGGTCACCCTGTTGGCTCTATAAATTAACTACTCAAATGACCCGTGCGTTGCACGGATGATAAATGAAACAAAATTTGTCCATTATTATAAACAATTTGTGATATGTATGCATTTTCTTATAAATTCGGTACGTATATGATACAGAGCATAAGACTGTGTTAGAAACACACACACACATGATAATGGTAAGAGATGTGCTAATTAATTTGGGAGTATATAGTTATAAATGAACTTTCTATATTTATTTTTATCATCTCTTGGATTGTTAGTACACTTAAAGTTTAATAAAATATCAATCAATTATTTATATATAATAAAATGTGTCTTAATTGAGAATTCATTTTGCACAATAATTTATTGATTTATAAATAATAAATATGGTCTTAATTGAGAATTCATTTTGCACAATATTTTATGTAATAATTACATATATGTTCTTAAAATAAAAGTATGACATCATAAGTGTAGTGACTATAATAGTAATTTAGTCATAGTACGTAATTTATGTTCAATTTTTACAATTAAGTGACTATGCGACACTTTACTATATATTGTTTTTTGCTCGAATAAGGCTTAATTCATAAAAACAGCATTCAGCAAGGGTACCAGACTAGAAAAAAACCACAAATAACCATCCGTCCGTGACCGATACTGAGAGCTAACCACCTGTAAAAAAGCAGTATAACTCGCTAGACCAAAATTGGGCAATTGAGAGCTAAAGACGGTTACCGCAGATTCTTCCTCCCCCCACCTTAATGCAAGAGTCTTACAATGAGAAAATAAACCGAAACATGAAAAAACAAAGCATCCGAAATTAAAGTAACAAAAAAAGATAAATAGAAAAACACCAAAATTAGTTTTCTTCTCCATCACCATCCAGAAAGTGCACGGCGGGTCTACGAGGGCTGACCCGCCCCTTCCCCATTTTTTGGCCCGTCAAGAGCCATTCCTGCACCAACCGCTCCATCTTCATTCTGATCTTCCCACATACGCCTTCGCTTTAGGTCCCCCGGTGGATCTTCCTTGTCCTCACTCTCAGTCAATGGAGTCCTGGTAGTCTTGCATTCCGCCGTGTGTTCTCCTCCGTGCTCAGACTTCCCCTGACCTCCATATCCCTCTGAGCTAGACCCTCCGTCAGACAGCCATTTATTAAGCCCTTTAGGGCTGGTCTTCACCCTTCCACCTGCTCTAATTCCCACCCCATATGTTTTTTCAGCTACAAAACCCTCTTCAACTTCAAAGGACAAAATTTGTCAGAGTGACCAATAATACCACAGATAAAACAAAAACTGGGCAGTTTTTCATATTTAAAGTCAACCCAATGCTTTACTCCCTCCTGCGTTAAATTTGTGCCCCTTTTCAGAGGTTGACGAACATCCATACTCACTCTTATTCTCAGATAGGGACTCTGCTTTCCATCAAAATGACTCATCTCAAATTTAATAAAAGAGCCTATAAAGTTACCAATTTTCCTAGCAGATCTCAGATTCCTATATTTTATAGGGGCATTATGAACCTGTACCCAAAAGCTGGCCTCAAACAGATTCATGGATTCAGGTATATCATCAGGTTGAACAGCTTTAAGCAAAATCAAATCTCGTTCATAAAGCCAAGGGCCTTCCTCAATGACTCGATTCATGTCCAAAACATGATTAAAACTTAACAGATACCTGCGTTCGCCGATTTCCTTGATAGTCATACCTTTCACTGGTCTCCAGATTGAGGTCATCAGCTCCTGAAATCCTGAAAGCTTAATCTTCCGATCAGTGATGACTACCCCCATTGCCGGAAATCGCCTATGCTCCTGTTCATCGCCGGCTTCCTCTTCTACTTCCTCATCGAAAAACAATTCGTTCTCTTGATCCCTCATCGCTAACTTCCTGTACGAATCAACCAAATCCTCCATAAGCCAGCCTACCCCCCTTGTCGTCCTGCTCTTGAGTCGCACGCAACCAACGATCTTCCCCCCAATCCCAGCTGAGAGAGATACTCTCGACTAAACCGATGCCTCTACCTAATCTCGATCACCAGCCGAAACTGAGATCGGAAACAACACACCCTAGCGGCGAATTACCCTAGGAAGCCCGAAGGTTTGGAGAGTACAGCTCTCGCTCCGGTTTTTTCCTTCATCAACTTATATTGACACTTTACTATATTTATTACAAATAGTAATATTTTTGTAAATAAATTTCATTTAAGTAATATTTTAAAAAAAACTTCATAATTTATTGATGTGTCATTTCAGAATTTAGAACTAACTCAGAAGTATCTTCTTTAATTCACTTATGTTATATGGAGTATAAAAGTAAAGATAAATTGAAATCGTAGAGTTAAATTGAAACAAAAAAATACACACGTCATCACCATGATGGAGGTTTGCGGTTACTTTTTCAACAATTGTCGTATCAAAATTACTCGTTGTTTTTCATAAATTATTGGAGGTTTCCATGAATACATTTTATAAATTATTATATTTACATATATAATAATTTTCATATTTATTATTTATTGATTTACATTTCTGCTACATACGTAATACACATCCAATACTACGTAAAAAAATAATTGTTACTACGTCATTTATATAGAAATGATATACATATATATATGTTCTATAAAAATATCTAATCACAAAAATCTTTATATTATTCATTAAGAATATAAGTGCCATTATGATTTCTTGAAGTCATGTCGGTTGGATTTGCTTAAATCTACTCTAGTATGTTACTCCGTATATAAGTGTATTTTACTATGATCCAAACGTCTGATTTGATATGTTTAGGATTGGTTTAGTTTAATTTGATACTCCCTCCGTCCCGCTATTAACTTCCTACTTTCCTTTTTGAGCCGTCCCAAAATAATCTTCTCATTTCCCTAAATGGAAAGTTATCCTACATCAAAACAGTGTCAAACAGTGCAAAACAGTGTCAAACAGTGTCTAAACAGTGCCAAACAGTGTCTAAACAGTGTCAAACAGTGTCTAAACAGTAAAGTCAAATTTATTTCCTAAATATGTGTGTAGGTCAAAGTAGGAACATAATAGAGGGACGGAGAGAGTATGTTTTTAATGTATGATCACTCCTGGTTCAAGTTATTCTGGAACTAAAATTAGTCCAACTAAAAATATCTTTTACTTGGACTGTAATCCGTCCCAAACTAGACCAGATCAGACTAGACCAGCCAGACCAGACTTGGATAGTTATAAAAATACATAGAAACCAGACATTACCAGACGTCAAGACCAGTTCAGACCAGACCAGATCAGACCACCAAATTAGAGTCCAAGTAAAAATTAAGCATTCTTAGTATACTTCGGATGTTACTACTAAGTACTGCCATGTTACTTTATCATAATCTCTACCATATTAATATCATCATAAAA